GTTCTAGAGTCTTCTTGGCAATTTTTAGTAACATAATACATTTTGACTTTGAGGAAAGGCTTGCAATATATTGTGTGACTAAGAAGAGTAGAACCTCTGGGTGTTAACCAAGAACAATCTTGAAATCAACCAGCAATCCCTAGTTAATGTGAAGAAAAGTAAGTTTTGCTGAGTCCTAGTCCCTCAAGATTTCCAACTAAATCAAGGCTATATGCTTAAAATGAAGGAGTCTCATTTGATATAGATAATATTGAACTGTTAAAATACTGAAATAATTTCTTTAGCTCTAACTTGAATTTTTAATAATATATTACTTGGGAAATGAATTCCTAATAAATGACTCTTGTGGTCAGTCAGTAGTTTTCCTGGCAAAGGGAGCAAACAAAAAATCTCTTCGTATAATTTTACTAGGCACCCGCATCCCCAGCAATTTCTGAATTGGTTTCCCTCGTGATGAGTAAATGACAACCTGTGATTTATGGATTTGGAATAATTGAATTTCTTGGCTGTCATATGCTTTGAGTAAGAAATATTACATATGTTTCCAGAAAAAAAAAAATGACTAAGAGATGGAAAGAACGAAGGGATGCCAAGCTCAGAAACTTTATTTGAAAACAGTGTTCTCACCAAACGGTACTTAAAGTGCTCCTTCTATATCCCTAAAACAGGTTTGCTAAATAATCTTTGAAAATGTAGTTTTGGACATAAGGTTTTTAAACGTGCCATTTTTAAGTTTAGTCAAAGAATAAAGTGGAGTACAGCATACTTATTATTCTCACCTTTCTGAGAACGAGCCATGAGGTGTTATTCACTGACACTTGGAGATAGGGAGAAAAAAATTCCAAACTAGGAGGGACACATCGCATTTTGCCTGTGTAGAATACAGTATTTAGTAGTTTAGCAGAATCCTTCTGTGAGCAGAATTTTTATTTAATGTGAAATCGCTAAAGCGAACTTTCAACTTTATTCTGGGTTGGCTATACTATTACTATTACAGGTTTTGATCAGTCCTTGGTCCATCAAGCTTTCCTTCCTTCCTTCCTTCCTTTTTTTCTTCCTTCCTTCCTCCCTCCCTCCCTCCCTCCCTCCCTCCCTTCCTTCCTTCCTTCCTTCCTTCCTTTTTTTCTTCCTTCCTTCCTTCCTTCTCTCTCTCTCTCTCTCTCTTTCTTTCTTTCTTTCTTTCTTTCTTTCTTTCTTTCTTTCTTTCTTTCTTTCTTTCTTTCTTTCTTCTTCCTCTCTTTCTTTCTTTTTGAGACAGCATCTCATTTTGTCACCCTCAGTAGAGTTCCATGGCATTATAGCTCACAGCAACCTCAAACTCTTGGGCTCAAGTGATTCTCTGGCCTCAGCCTCCCAAGTAGCTGGAACTATAGACGCCCACAACCAATGCCTGGGTATTTATTTAGAGATGAGTTCTCACTGCAGCTCGGGCTGGTCTAGAACCCATGAACTCAGGCAATCCACCCGCTTCAACCTCCTAAGTGCTAGGATTGTAGATGTGAGCCACCGCTCAAGTTTCAGATTCCATGCAGTATTCATCGACTCTTTTCACCCTTTCTATTTTAATAATAATTGGTTGACTGTGGAAGAACTCGTACAAAAGCTGAGGGAGAGTGGGCAGTTCCCCTCTATGTACTTTTGACTAGCACTATCCACTAGGGCTTTCCCAGATGGTGGAAATATTCTATAGCTTTCATCCAGGGGTAGCTATTCAGCACTTGGAATATGGCTAGTTTGATGGAGAAATTGAGTATTTGATTTTGTTTAATTTGTGTTTAAATTTGAATAATCACATGTGGATAACAGCCTATGGTATTAGATGATATAGGTAGACCTTAGAAGAGTGAGTATTGACCTTAAGCAATTCAAGTCTAACATTTGTGGGCAGCATAACATCAGCTGCTCTGGATCATGTTCATGTGGTCCTAAACTGGGTAATACTTCCCTAACACAAATAGAGGTAGACAACTTTCTTAGAACATTTTTGATGGTTAGAATGGTTGGGATTGTCCTCCTGTCATTTGGTGGGTAGGGACCAGAGATGCTAAATGCCTAAAATACACAAGTCAGTCTACACCAGGTGTCATTGTCCATCCCCAATGCCAGTAACAACCAACTTGGCAAACTCAAGCAGGCCCTCCCACTTCTTTAAATACTGTGGTTTCAGGTATGAGATCTCCTACAAGCTCAGCCCTACTGTAGTTAATTCTCTCTCCTGTGATCTGTATCTTATTTCCTCCTGCCTCCTCAGGTTCTTCTCTTTCTTATTATGATTATTTCATTCTGTACCTTCCACCACTCCCTCTCTCCATTCAAATGTGTTCTAACCTTTTCTATCTCAAATACTACTCTTTGTTAATTCCATATCCTCTAGCCATGACTGTTTCTTTCTTCTTATGCAGAGAAGTCTGTTCCTGCTCTGAAAAGCACATTTATTCATCTAGCTAACGAGGTAAACTCTTTTTGCCTTTTAAGACAAATAAGTCTGACACTGTATGTAGTTTCAAAGCACACTGTTTTATTACATAGACATATCAGCAGAGTCATCATACTATGATCCACCTCTAAACCATTGTGTGTGTATATACAAATGTATACAAATATACAAGCACACATACATACACATTTACGCATATTTTAAAATTTCCAAGGAAAGTCCACTTCTATTCGTTTGTGTTTATAATAAATCTACCTCCTTATAGATAGTTTCTAAAAAATCATACCACCACACTAGTTTCACATATTTCTTTTTTCTGGTTTAATTTCACATTACTTTTTTCAAAGAAGAGGCTCATACTACAGCTGTGATGTAGTTACTCAAAAAATTCCAGTTCATTGTTCAATGTATTGTCAAAATGAATTTTTCAAGCACTTGAACAATGCCTTCCTAATATCTCCCACTTATCTCAAAAAGAATCACCACACATACTATTAAATCACTCTAAACTCAGCCCTGAAAACATTGGGTTGCAATAATTACGTTTAAAGATATATCTGTACTTGGTTAAACATACACTGTGGATTATTCAAATGGTTGTGATGATTGCATCTCTTTTCAACGCGATGTCAAAGCAGCGATGTATCTACTTGTGTTCTTTATGTGTGATTATATAAATTAGGCCAAAAGGCATCAAAATATCTTACTAATGTATTAAAATTCTGTATTGTTCAAACATGTGTACAGACAATACCCACCAAAAGGTAGAGTTGATGGTTATTTTTCAGTACAAAACTATATCTTTCCATAAATTCAGTAGTGACACACCCCCACCCACCCCCACCCACCCCACACACAAAATATCTGCATTGTATAGTTTAAGTTTTCATTGACAAAGATCATGCTTGCTTTTGGCATCAAATAAATAATTATGATGTCGCCTCAGTATTTGAGGTTGCATTTAGGGACAACTTCTGTAACCTACTAAATAATGAAATTATCTGAGTGAGTGGGAAGACTTCAAAAACCACACCAAACAATCAAAGGTCAGTTATTTCTGTTGAACCGAGAGTTTTTTTAATGAGATGATTTAAAAGGTTCAATGATGATCATGTTGGTAAAATAAAAAGACCTTCAAATTTTCATGAACTCAAACTTTTCTTATTTTGTTCACCCACTTGAAACCCATGATTTTTAAAAATAAATTATAACGTTCTAATACTGGGTATTAACTATTTTATTAACCAACAGCTCAATAAGTAACTGATAAAAATGACTTGAAAAAGTGATTGGCTTTGGTGAAAATAAAAGTATACAATACAATGAAAGTTATGTAATTTGAAAAAATTAAATTTCTTTCTCTTTGGCCGGAGGTTATAGTCTCATAGATATTTCCAAAGACTATGCTGTTTTCCTGCTTATAAGTATTGCCATAGGTTGCTATTTTAGCATCCCATTATAGAAGGGCAGGATTGAATCTAGCTACATACATGTAAGCCAATCTTTTCATTTCCTTCCACAGAGAATTCTCTCAAGTTCTTTGGACATATGCATCCTTATAGGTGAACTGTTATACATTATACCATGTGAATTGTAAAACAAAACAAACAACCTACATCATAGCAAAGTTAATTAGATCTTCATTTTTGGAGGTGTGTCTGCTTTTTGCATCGTATGCTTGGTGTTTGAAATATCGTATGCAAGGTGTTTGAAATACCAATATAATGAATAATCAGAAGTCAGTGTGTCTTTATTGATAAACAGGGCCATATGTAATTCAAAGTCATGTTTATAAGTTAATCTTAATAGTTTCTACAGCATAAATACTATAATCATAATAAAATTTCCAAGGAACTAAATAATCTATCTTTATACTATGCTATTTAGGTGACTCAGCTCTGTAAATAACAGGCACCAAGATATTTACACAAAACAGACCTAAGAGAAGAAAGAAAAATTGGCAAATTTAGCAGAAAGTGAATACATGATTTTGTGGGAGGGAAAAGCCTTCAGCATCTTCTGCCTTCCCATCTCTGTTGGAATCACATCTTGATAATGCCCCCACAGCGTCAGAGTTTCTTTTCCACTACCTATTTTCATTCGTGTATGCTATAAATATATGCTGTATACATTTTCTATATTTACAATATATATACACACACATCATTGTCAGGCTCATTCATGAACATGCAGATCAATCTACATGGTATGATCAAAACATGTTTATTTACCTTAAATGATATTCATGACCACTTTTCACTCTTGTGGAAAAATGCAAAAATATCATCCTGAGTAGTATCCCCTCTCTCTCAAAAGAAAATCTCTTTTTATGTTTTGGTTTACAAAGAAATTATGAAATATACCGTTCATTCACAAATTGAAAATAACTACACTGTTTTTGTAACAAGGCATTGCTGAGGTTTTGAATTGTGGCATTCTTGAAGCCGTCTGTCTTTCAAAACAAAGACATTAGTAAAGTTATTGTTATGTCTTTATATGCGTACTTTTCGGTTACTCATATGAATGATGTCATTACAAATCTAATACACATGCTAGTGAAATAGTGTAGAATATGAATCTTATTTCTATTTTATTTGTTACTTCTTTTCCTGAAAAATCTTCTTTAGAACAATCTGGAAAGTCTCTTGAAAGTACTGTACTAGAACATTGCTGGAAAGTTTTTTACCCCATAAAAAAGGCTGAAGAAATAAGTGAGGCAAAAGTGGGGAAGAATAATTTTGGTGGATGCTCAGAAGCGATAAAAGCAAATGCAAGAACTGTCTTCACTTTATTTTTTAGTTCTATTGTATCTCCTTGCCCCGTGAAAATCCTATAACGTGTCCAGCTCTTTCAAACATTGATCATACTCTTCCATTAAATATCAGCTGTGGTCCTCCATTGCTCATGGTGTCTGTCATTTCCTGTTAGGAAAATAACATGAATTAATTACATTTCACTTTCAGAGTACGATATTAATTTGGTTAATGGGTTTGCAAAACAGAAATCTCAAGCTATTGAAAATCTTGCTGACTTTGAGGGAAGGGCAAGGATTGATATTGTTGTTGCATTTGAGGAAATGAAATTTCATGGCATCTTGGGGCACATGAAAATGCTGAAGTGACAGTTTGTTAGACCAAAGTCTTCTATCCCCCAAAACAGCTCATTCTCTGCCCATTTCCCTGAGTTTCTTCTTTCTTCCCTCAATTCTATTTCAGAAGGAACTCACCTACAAAGAAGATGGCTAAAGGCCCGAAGTTTTTCAATGCATGGGCTCCTCTGCTGAACATGTCAACAAAGTGCCAATCCATTTGAGGGGTGATCTTTATTTTATAGAGAAATGGGTGGCCTTTTTGCTAATAACTGAAAAAGGCCCACAAGGGTATCATTGCTCATTTCTAAGTACGGATCACTCAAAATTCATAATAGGAAAGATTGGTTTTCATGACACTATCCCTCATACAGTAAAAAGCAAAACAGCAAAGTCTCTTAACATGTCTTTAAGAAATTAAATACTAAAGAATGGAAAGGAAGAACTAGGTAGGAAAGCAATACAGATAAAGAGGCAAAGGATAACACTGGCCTAGAATGCTGCATTTGCAATTATAGGAAATGTATTCAAGAAACGTTTTGAAGCTTTGAATTCATACATGTAGGTTTTACTAAATATTAAACCCTTGCAGACACAATAAAAGATGATGAGATGTGAGGCCCATTCACATTTATAATGGTTCATGTATCATGTTATAAATAATATGTTGGTAAAGTTATCTAAAAATAGATCAACCAACCGTATCTTTCCATGCTTGAACAAGCCTATTTGCAAAATGAGTGGTAAAGAACATTTCAAATGGAAACATTTTTTTCAATTATCTCATTCATATTTCTAGTTAGTTTCTCTTTGGAAAATCTGTTTGAGATGTACATGATGAAAGTCTGCCAGAGATATACTTGCTGAAAATCTGAAAATACATTAGAGTTTATGGGCTGTGACTATATAGTTAACAAAGCTAATTTGAGGCTTCAGTCAAGACCTTGGTATAAGATAAATAAAAATAATTCCCCCCAAATGCACTTCTATGTTTTTACTTATTCCTCCTGCTGCAAGAAAAAAAACAAAACAATTTCCTAATGGGTTCATAGAAATAAGAATCTTAGGTGCCTTTTCTTCTCCTGATTTGATTTTGCATTTAAAAGCCTCTTAAAAAATCTAAATGTGTTAGTTTTTATTGCAGCATTTATAAGAAAAAGCAGGTTTTAAAGATTTTATGAAATAAAATAATTTTCTTAACTGAATTTAATATGGACACAGTAAAATCACTGATAGGAAATAACAGTGAAAATCAGTTTTAAAAGAGGTGCGTCTTTTCAATGTATTTGCAAACAGGCATGCTTACTTTAACAAGACAATTGTACTTTTAATTTGGGCAGGTCCAAATGTAGCTCTTTTTAAATGACATGCTTTCTGCAAATGGGCCATGTTATCTATGTGAATTTCTGCAGTTTCAGTTATTCTGTTCAATCAAACCAAGAACGGTTACTTGTTATTTTCAGCAATTTGAAATATAAGAAATAATTTATAAATATACCACACCAGACAATTTTACAAGAAGAAACTTTTCATACAGATTTTTTACTGTATTAGTGTCAAATTTTGGCTATCTGCTCATGCGAATAGGGCATGAGGAAGATACACAGTTTGTCTTTAGCCAGACCTATCTATTATTAAAAGCAAAACTCTGGTCTGTGAAAGATGATATTGAGTCAAAATTATGATGTAGCAGAGAATAAAAGGAGTCATGAATCATCCAAGCAGAAATGTGTTTGGATGTTTATAGGCAGGCTGAATATTTTAAATACTCAACCAGATTTCAAGCTGCAAGACTCGGCCATGGACTTGAATGTCAGCTCTTCAAAGTAGCTCTTGTGGAAGTGATACTTTGAGGAACAACATTACAGCATCAGTCCAGACTGATCTGTTGTCGCCATGGCTTTCTAAGAAGAGGTAGTGCTTTATGCAGCGACATTACAACAGGTAACTCCCTAGAAATCAGCGTACCTTGTAGGTAACTCTGGTGTCGGGGGCACCACCGGGCAGCTGGGCAAGTCGGTTATTTCAATAGCCCTCAATCTCTAATATAAATATAACAAGTATACAATAAATATTGCACAAACATATATACAAAAGACCAAATCACACTAGTATAAAAATAAAGCATAAAAGAGTCACTATCCAAATATAGTACAATGATAACCTACTTTTAACAGCCTATGTCTTTAAGTTGTAATTGTTGAAGGGCACGCACAGATGTTTAAAATTGCCCTCTTGGGATGAATTACAAACATCTACTCTCCTCATTTCAATGTATATAGACTATACGCAAAATGGAAACACAAACTGCAGAATATTTTTTTTCCTTCAAAATAACTTTATGAAGAAATGCTGTAGAGACTCTTGCTATTCTTCTATTCTGTGTTCATGCAATTTTATTCTCATGATTTAAAGCAAAATATAATGTAATCATCGTCTCAGTTTATTTTACAGATAAAGTGTCTTTTTTAAAAGTAGATCCAATAGTAGGAACTAAATTAAGGAATATGTGAAAAATTTAGTAAGCAACGCAAACATTTCACTATGTCTGTGAAAGGACTATTGGTCCTTTTATGCAATTAATGTAACTTCCTTTTTGAATGATTTCCATGAAACAATTGTGCCAGGACCATTGTTTATAATACAGGCAAAGCTATCAAAATGTGCACACAGCTTAGATGAGAATTAAATGAAGCTTTACATGCCTTGTAATATCTGCTCTGATAGACAAGTATTTTTGTCACCTTATTAAAAAAACCCTTATGCTTTGAATCTAATTTACATAATCAAATGCATCTACTTATGAGCACAAGGGATGAACTAGTAAAGGGAATTCATGCAGTTTCTAAAACTGGCATTATTGAGTGGAGGCTTTATTTAGTTTAAGTGCTTCTCCTCAGTATAATTTATAATAATCCATATTTATATGGTATTCAATATTTTATGAAATGCTGTTTTAGGAACTGTGTTTTTGAATAGAGTGGCTACAAAATTGTATTGAAAATAAGTATATCCACGAGTTACAGGAACAAATTTTTTTTTAAAGTTTTCTATTCTTAATCCATTGGGGTCAACCATATAAAATCTCATCTTCAATTGTCATCTAACATTGCAAGTTGATTCACCTAGAGTGGACTACAGTCTTCATCACACAATAGCAGTGAGAGGAAAAGGTACCAACTCACTTTCTCAGCCATTTCGTGAGAGTGATGCAGAGAGTGCTCCCTTTCTGAGAACATCCTCCTCTGTTCATAGCTGGCAAGTCGACAAGTGAGCCAGGAAGACAGAGTGCAGCCCCCAATCCCAATGCAAGCAAGAGACATGGAGGCCAGGTGTAGAGGATACAGGGACGAGGTTTTCTTTGTGACTGCCCGAAGGAACTGAAAATTCAGGATGCCGCCAATGAGTCCACAGATACAGCAGGCTGAAAAGAGGATCATCTGATAAAAAAAAGAAAGGGAGTGTTAATGTTGAGGACCAGAACTTACCAGAATGGGACCCCTTCCTGCTGCACATCAAGGATGGGTAGCCTACAAGGAATGAAGAGAAGGTGCTTTTGGTGTGTCACAGAGGACAAAGAGTTGTCCTTACAGCCAAGTTTCTATTCAATCTGACTCAATGGAGAGAGTGTAGACCATAGTGCTTTAGAAGTTGATAGCTGACTCTATTAAAGCCAAGCATATATTTTATGAAAACTCTAAAGCAAACAAAATTTATCTTCCATGTAGATTCAGATTTATTTGATATCTATTGTATGCTACTATGCTGGGAATTTCAACAGATATCATCTCAATTAATCCTTCCAGAAATTTTGTGTGAGAGTTATATACATTTTGGGAAAATGCATGGTGATTAGCTAAAACTCAAATTAGGGACTGAACCCAGACTGACTGACTCTAAATCTAGTTTTACTGTGTCAATCTTCCCCATACACCTGAATATCAATCATCTCATTAAATTGTTACCAGTTCCACCTAATTTCAAATCAGAGCTGAGGACATTTGTCAGATCCTTTTCTTATATTCACTACATATGTATATCTATTTCCCCAACAAGTGGTTTAAGAACTCTGGATGAACTGGCCCTGCATCTCACAAATCTGTTGTTATTTCTGCAACTCCACAATGAAGACTATACAATAGGTGCTCCAAAATTACTCTTTGATTTTCTTTCTTTCTTTTCTTTTTCTTTCTTTCTTTCTTTCTTTCTTTTTTTTTTTTTTTTTTGAAGACAAGTAGGATGTGGGTTTGCTTTTTTCTCTTATTGGCTTGATCTGAGTCTCTATTATATCTAGGTAAGGGGGTTTTAGTCAACTTGAATATCATAGGATCCCTGGTAGAACCAAGAACAATGCCTTTCATGCAGTAAATATTCTGTGAACATTTAATAAACTTAATTGACTATTCCAGTAACTTCAATAATTTTACTTTCTGCATCATTTAAAATTACTTTGTAGCTTTTGAGATACTTTCTTGTCCAATACTAACTTAATTATTCAAACTTATTTACATTCTTCTCTGGAACGGAGTCTCGAGTCACCTGCCTTGTCTATCAATAGAGCTTGCTCGTTCCCACCTCAATGATATTGCGCGTTTCCTTTTGCTTTTACATTGGACTCCTAGATGGAGAGGCACTAATCAAATCCAAAATTCCTTAGTAAGCCATCCTGGACTTTATCGATCTTCTCCTTTGCTATAATTACCCAGGGAAAGAGCTTCATTACTACTTCAGTATTTAATTTTACTTTATCAGGTATTGCCTTTTGTTAACAGGTAGTTGAGCACCTAATATCTGTTAGCTGCTGAGCAAGGCAGATTCTGGCACTACAAAGAAAAACTCATAATGATTCATGTATCGCGAAATCTTATGAAAAAGAAAATTCAGTATCTCAACGTAGCACGGTAAATATTAAGAAAGGGGGTTGTTCCCCTTGGAGCAGGGAGGAGGGAGGAATGAAAACCCCCAACCAGGGTTTTTAGAGGTTTCCCTGAGAACACGTCATCTTGACTAATTCCCTGTAGTTTCCAGCAGAGGGCACTGGCCTTTGAGGTATGAAATAGCACCAAGGAAAAGCATGGTGGCCAGAAAGAACTACAAACAGTTCCTTTCGTTACTGCAGCTTAACTCAGCGTTCCTTACAGGTCTGTCTCCTGCTTATCACCAGGGCTGAAAACCCAGTGATGAATGAGTTTAGAATCTTTTCATACTTGATTAAATATGATCTGGAAAATCAATTACCACATAATGAAATCATCTTGTGAAGCGGAAACTTGTGGTTCACAGTTTAAAACAGAATCAAACAGTTATGCTCTGTTTTATAGATAGATGGCGTGCAGTTTCTTGGGAATGTATTTTGGTGTTTACTCCGAAAATATAGAAAGATTGCATTCTAGCCTTCACCTAATGAATTACTAATGATTGAGAGAGTAGATGACACATTTAATTTTCTAGCACAGGAAATGCCACATCTTTCCTAATGTTACTCTCATTAATTCTTTAAAGACATGATACTTCATTAACATGCGTTGACAGAACATTCTCACCTAGAAATTAAAATATTAAAATCTGTATCCAAGTTTATAACCACATACTGTTTTCATATCTCATCAGGCTGTTAATTCTAGACTGCTGAGATATTTGGAATGACGATTTTTTACAAAATTTGATTAGAGGATAGAGACTGTTGATAGCTAGATTCCAAAGGATAATCTCTCATAGCAGGTACATCTTTCACCTGGGTGATACTTTCTATAAAGTTCAGATTTTAGGATTTTTTTTCTTTCATTATTTGTAGGAGAATTAGAAAGACAGAAAAGTGACACTATTGTCTTAAAAAAAAAAAACCCTCTTTCTTCCTTTTCTATTCCCTTCCTCCTCCCTCCCTTCCTCCTTTCTTTCCTTCCTTGCTTCCCTCCTTTCCTTACTCCCTTTTTTTCTTCTCTGAAGGATTTATTCCTGCATACCCATAAAGAGTCTTGGTAAGAGAAGAGTGTTAAAGGAAGGCCATGTCTAAAGGATAATGGGAGAATCATAGATGCAAATCACAAGATAACATTTTTTTTCCCAAATGGGAAAGGAAAAACATTTTTTCCAAGAAAACATTTTTTTCTTTTTCCTTTTATGTGATATTTAAAAATTACATTTCACATGTCTAAAGCAATGAGAGCCTCATCCTTTCTGTTGCAATACATATTCTCACAAAGAAAGATGTGATTAGAAAAAGAAGTTAAATGAAAATAATTGCAATACTCTCATTGCCTGCCCTACTCATAACATGACCTCCTGTTGGACAATTCTTTTTACGCTCAAAGGCCACTTCCTAGAATCCTTGTATAGCATTAATTTTTCTAATTTGTGAAAGTCTATGACCTTTCCTGTAGCACTTGATAAAATAGACCATGTCTTTCCTTCTTTCTAAACTTTCATAAAATCCCATGGAGGGCAGTGGAGAATCACACTTCAGAATGCAGTGGTTCTCCAGCCAATGTCAGTGTTAACTGGGATAATGTTCCTTACCCAAGAAACCTATGGCACTATCATAAAACACCTGAAAACACTTACACATGCATTCACAACAATAAAATCAATCTATGAGAATTAATGTAACCATAGCGACACAGCTGTCTTGCTGCTTTATAAAATTAGCTATACAGCCAAAGAAAGCCAATAATGCTTAGGCCCAGCTCCATATTTAAACAGTGAAATTCCTCATGAAGTCAAGTTCTATCTCTTTTAGCTCACTGAAGGATTCAGGAAGTCTCTAAATGGAAATGAGGATGGAGTCTGTCACCCAGGGCAGTTCTTAAAGGTTGCCTATTCATGCATTTCAAGCGTTTATCAAGCTTTTTTTGGTTGGTAGTGTTTTGTCATGGTCTCTAATAATCTTCATGGTTTGTTGAAAACTTAAAAAAGCCAGGATTTACTTGTCAATCTCCTTTTTTTCTAAACTAGTAACATTCAGTATGTGAATCATCACTTTTGTTTTTGAATGTTTACATTTGAAACCTCTCAATATACAATACAAATGAGGCACAAACTTACGACAAGTCCTGATTTTTTTTTGGCGCATAATATTCCACAAATGCCACAAAGAAGAAACTGCAAAGGAAAAGAAGAACGATTATTCCATATCCAAAGACAGAAGAACCCCAACATTTTAGCTGATAGTTCATTTATGACACAGCTCCAGGGAAGGTAGAAAATGTTACATTTCCCATCAGAAGCTGGAGAAAAAAACATCACATTCTAGAATAATAAAGGGTAAAAATGTAAATTCTAATGAAAATTTATTTTTTTGTAAGGTTGCTAGAGGTAACCATGGGATTTAAGCAAAGTTCTAATCAGGTTTAAGTTCAGACAAGATTATGAAGTAAACAAATGTTTAGTTTTGTTCCTCTGATTTCCTTTCGATATTGTCTCACCCCTTCCTACAGTTTTTCTCCCTTCTCAGGCATAAAAGTGGTGTGATTTCGTCATTCATACTAAGCAATAGAACTCAATAGGTTTTTATACTACAGGAAGAACTAGCAAAAATAAAAAGATAAGGCATCAGACAGGGAGGTGTTTTTCTGGAGAGACAGTGTTTGTAGCTCTCAAACTGGTACATGGAGACCTCCTCACTCTGCCAGAAAAAAGGTCCTTGTGGCTATGTATGAAGAACTCAAGAGGATGAGGTGATTGATGGCATGTTTTTTCTTATAAACAAAAACATCAGTAATATATTGCTTTGCAAAAGCAGCCACATTAAATCATCTACCAATGTCAAACCATTAGACATTTTGGCTACCACTAATGGTAAATAGTTTAATTTGAATAGAAACATTGAGGGCCATTTGGTAAATTTGCACATACTTCTAATTTGAGCCAAACCGTATACATAAAATAATAAATGGTTTATTAAGTAATAAGTCTACTAGAGGCCTTCAAGTTTACAAAGAACACTTTGATTTTCAAAGAAAACTTGCTTTCATTTGATTTTTTTTAAAAAAAATTTGCTATCATAAGTCAGTCAACTCATTATGAAAATATTTTTTAAAAGATTATCTGAGATAATATGAATGGAAGAAGCACCAAGGAAATATGCTAAAAAATAATGAGCAAGGGTAATTTCTGCAAGGAAACTTTCCCCCAAAAGAAACAAATGATTAGCAAGCAGGCAATGGTGCAGAAGAGAGATTAAAGAACATGGTGTGTATGGGAGTTTGGAATACAATTTAGATGATTTTTCAAATTAATGGGGGAGGCATCATGATTATTTATTTTATAAATGGAATTAGAACAACTTGTTAACCTTCCCTAACATCACATGCCAAAATTAACATGAAACAGTTTGAGTATTTAAATATATAAAAATTATAACTGTGTTAGGATACAACAAAGTTAAACATTTACATAATTTTAGAAGAGTGGGAAGGAGTTTCTAAAAATAGCTCCAAAGCCATAGACCAAAATAGAAAGTACTTATAAATATTTATAGAAAAGAATTATAATTTTGATAGTCAAAAATATCACAATGCTCAAAGGCAAAATAAATTGCTTTTGTGATCAGATAAGGGTTAACATACTATAAATAGAGCTAACAAAGTATTTTTAGCGCTTGAAAAACATGAGAAGATAGAAACTCAGAACTGCATAAAACCTGAATACTTATGTAATTTTCACAGGGCTTAAAGAGGTATTTGGGAGAGACCATTTCTCAGCTCCCAATGTGTGCTAGGTATAGTTGACCATCTTCTTACAGACTTTTTATTGTTGGTCTCATGTCATAGCTTTCAAGATCTTCCAATTTAGACAAATTCTGTACCTCTCAGTGCTTCAAGCTACAGACAGATCAAAGCCCCAGTATGTTCCTATTCTTAAACTTCCCTGACCAGCTCCTTATTCAGCCTAGAAGTTCATTCACTGAGAATTCATTCTGAAAATAATTTGAAAGCTTTTGTGTGCCTTGTGTAGTTTTGTTTTCCTTGAGTCTGTTTGAAATCAATAAATATTGTTATTATTTACTTATGGTAAAGTCCACGAGGGATTCAGGACCATAAACAAAATTTGTCTCACTTCACTTGCATGGAGCTCAGAAGTGGGAATGCAGGGCCTTCCAGAGAGAAGGAAGAGTGGGAGAGGAATCAAGCAGTAATTTCCATGCTCCCTCAGGCCTGGAATGTGAAGTGCTCTCCCCTAGTTATTTCTGCTGGTATCCAAAATCACATTGCTTAGAGGAAACCTGTAATCTAAGAAAATAAAAGATACCCATACCAGGAAATATATGAAATCATGGAATTTCTGAAGAAGATCAATGACGTTGGCTGAAATTTTGTCATCACAGTTTACAGAAACGAGAGAAAGAGACCTGATCTTTTATTTCATTGGCTGCGTTTGTTTGCTCCAAGTCGTAGCAAAGGAAGGGATCTTAAAAGATGATTTAGTTTAGCCCTCACGTTTTACATGTGGAGACTTGGGGAACTACAGGTCCAGATGGATTTTGTAACTTGCTCAAGGTTCAAACATCAAGGTCAAACACATATAGGGCAGCATCCGCAGCTCAGTTATGGTGCCGACTACATACACTGAGGCTGGCGGGTTCGAACCCTGCCAGGGCCAGCTAAAACAACAATGACAACCGCAACAACAACAACAACAACAAAAATAGCCAGGAGTTGTGGCAGGCGCCTGTAGTCCTAGCTACTTGGGAGGCTGAGGCAAGAGAATCGCTTATGCCCAAGAGTTTAAGGTTGCTGTGAGCTTTGACTCCATGGCACTCTACTGAGGATGACCTAGTAAGACTCTATCTCAAAACAAAAACAAACAAAAAAAACACCACATATAATTTTAGTCTTTATAAAGTATCTCAATGAATTTGCTTATAATTTAATGGAAATGCTTTTCTGAAGTATTTTTCAGTTCTAGTACAGTGTGCACTTAACAGAAAATCCAACCAGAAATGTCCAGTGAACACCTGCTCCCTAACAACTCCCCTCTTTGCACTGGCCATTGTTACTTTCTGTTGTGATAAAAATAATTTAAAAAGTCTAATGTACTTTATTTTATAAAGGAATTTGCTATACTATTTCAAAGTATTTTTTTGCTCAATATAACTTACCCAGGGTGCATAACATTTATTCATATTGTGGAAACTATTTAACAAGTAAAAAACAAATTAGTTTTAAAAAGTTAAGCTCATAGCTATATGTGTGTGCGTGTGTGAAGTCTAAATAATTTTATGTGAGAATATATAATTTATAGGTTGTTTAAATGTAGGGAAGGTTATTTGCCTTGCTTATACTATGAAACAATGTAAATGTAGAAATCCAATGATAGGGCAACAAGTTCTACACCATGAAAGAAAAATAATCCTCCAAGTGAAATTAATTTGATTCCAATTTAGATTGTATACAATAGATCACTAAAGAAGTGACCCTTTGGGTGAAATGAAGGTATTACGAAAATAGCCAGTTATAATTTGAGTAGATTTTCTTTATGGAAATTCCTTAGAGATTTCTACTTTTAAGTCAGACAGAAATTGTGGCACCTGTTACAGATCATGGATGGAAGAGGATTTGTAGGGTGGGTACGAGTTGGGGTGGGGAGTTGCGAAGTTCTGCTCCTTCCTTTAACCTTCATTTTATGAGGCAAAATCTTAAACCTCTGGCAGAGGGGTAGCAAACCCCATCATTTCCAGGACCTATACAAATATATGTTACCGTTAACTGAAGGAACTGTGGAAGAAAAATTTTTTTTACACAGGAAGAGAGACAGGAACTCATCTTGGGTCTGATATCTATGCTTTTTACATAGAGGTCCTCCTGAAGACCAGCCACAGATGCAAGGCTGAGTTTGGCTGTCACCTAAGGAGGAAGATGCAATGTACTAAGAGATTCCCACTCCTGAGACCAGGGGCACAGGGCCATCTTCAGCTGAGACTGGTCTAGAGCAATAAATAACCTACTTGACGGCCACTGACCATGAGCATAGTAACAAGCGACAGCAATCTTAAGGTGACCAGATTTTAACATTGGTAAAGTGAGACACCATTGACTGGGGGGGGGTGTTTAATTAATTAATAATTTGGTCTATATGGAGAAACAAAAATTTTCATAGAATGCAAAAATAGTATTGTAATATATATTTTTTAAATTTCAACATAAGTACAATTTACAAATATAGTACATTAAAAAAATTATGTATAGGGTGGCACCTGTGGCTCAAAGGAGTAGGGCACCAGCCCCATATGCTGAAGGTGGTGGGTTCAAATCCAGCCCTGGCCAAAAAAAAAAGAAAAAAAAATTATGCATAGTATTATTTTATTCTTTGACCTAGTTCTTATTTGAGTGAATTTTTTTTTAGTAGATTGCTGTCATTGTTTAAAAGATCATGAAATTTTTCACAAGAATTTGTCAAATTATATTTCACACATAAAATGGCTTTCAAAGTCTCAACACTTAATTGTGATTTTTCTGATGTCCACACTTTATTTACTGTAGAAAAAACACGTTCAGTTGCAGCATTAGTTCCTGGTAAGGACAGCGCATATCCCACAATTTTTAGTGCATTATTGTATTTGTTTCAAAATGATGAAATATTTGTAAACATTTGTTCTCTACTGTGATTTTTGCTGATGCCCAAGAGTTAACCTTTTCCTTATCAGTATATTTTTTAATAATGATACCTCATAAGTCATAAGTGTCACTTTCAAGGCCGGCATTAGACTTTTTGCTGCCACTATAAAATATAAATAATACAAGTACTGTCTGCTAAATTCATGAAATAAATAAATAAATTATTTACCTAAATTATCTGAATAGCTGATTTGTTGACATCACTTGTTTAACTAGCACTTGCACACAGTATAATGTGTATCATCTGAGAGACAGTTACAAAAGTTTTCATGGTTGCCAGTGCCAAAAAATGCCATTGTTCATTAAGTCCAAACAATGGTAGTCAAATTCTAACAACAGATCAACAATGAGAACTTTGATAAGCAGTTCTCGATAATCAGTTCTCAACAATTATTTGTTATTATTAAAGTTTAACATTATAAAATTAACAAAAATAATATAAAACTCATATCCTGGTGAAATAGCCACATGGCAGTGTTGGGACCA